CCAGTCCTGCAGCTCTGATTTATCAGTGTCTTTTGCCATTTTTGTCAGCCACCAGCAGTGTGCTGGCCTGTCTTCTTTTCTTAACATGATAAGGATGAATGGGTTTCATGTAAGGGCACTTAGGACCATTCCATCATAAAATACTGTCACTAGCCACCTGCAGGCACGGTCCCAAGCCTGGGCAGCTCCAGGGGCCCGTCCTCACTCAGCGCATGCGCTCTGCCATCTTTCCAGTCCGGCATCCTGTGCTCACCTGCCTCCTGCCTTTTCTCATTTTCCTTCACAGTGAAAACATTTCCCTTGTAAGATCATTTCCATTCTGCAAAATAAGAAGCAGTGCCACCCTTGACAGAGGACATTACAGCAGGAAGAAGTTACCTGCCCCTTTGCCAAGCCCAGATGAGATGGTCTTGGCCCTCTTTCAGGTCTATATATAGCTGCACACTGTCACGCAGACTTTACTTTTTAACACATTTTCCGGTAGAAATGTTGGTGGTAGGGTCAGGGACTCAACTTCCACAGGCTCTGCAGGACCTATGTGCTGTATATAAAATTGACTCTCAAAAAAAAAAAGTGTACGCAGCACCCTATACATTGATTATTTTTCTAAATGGTCTTGAAAGGATATATCATGGAAAGTTTCTGGTTTTGTCCCATTTCCATCTGCTTTTCCTGAAGGCAGTCTGCATCGCACATACCTTGTGTATGTTTCCAGAAATATTTATAGACATACAGACCAATACAAATACATTTATATATTTTTTGTGCCTCTTTTTCCTTTGGAGATACACATCTTGAGCTCTTTATCACCATATTAAAAGCTTCACCCTTTTTTAGATGTAATAATACTCATTTGTATGGATGGGCTTTACTTTAAGCAGCCCTCTGTAGGCGGGTAATTCGGGCATTTCCACCTCTTGGCTGTTAGAAGCTCTGCTGGTCTGAGTACCCTTACACACTGTCTCCCTGTGAGCGTGCGTGACTTGCATTTTGGATAGGTGTTTCCTGACTGCCTCCACCGAAGCTGGGCAGGTCCATGCTTTGGTGAGTGTTTCAAGGACTGGTCCCCCTCATCAGCCAGCACATTGCCACATGCTTGTATCTTTAATAGGCTTTAAAATGCTCTTCTTCATAATTCCAAAGCTGACTGAATCCCTAGGGAGTGTGCTCATTAAATGGCACACTTCTGACTCCAGAGCTCAGCCTCGTGGCTTAGTGCTCAGTAAGTAGCCTGCTGCCCTGGTAAAATGGTGACTCAACATCTGTGTCTCAGCTGTGTCTCCTTTTTCAAACTGTGGTATTAACTTAGCAGCAGCAGCAGCAGCCTCCTGAGTTCTGGTGAGTAGGTGAATTCATGCTAAAGGTCGGAATAGTGCCTGGGGCATAGAGAAGCTAGGCAGAAATACTGAGTGATGTGTCAGGTGCTGAGGATTCCTGGGAGGGCCACCAGTCCTTTCCAGGACTGCCTACTTTTTAACCAGTGAAGAAGCACCTCCCTCAAGTTCCAGTGTAATTGAGGCACAGATGATGTTAAAAGAATGGTCAGCCAGGGAAGGAAAGAGGAAAACTGACAGGTGCTTCATAGACATCTGCTTGCTGCTCAGCTGGGAGCCCTGAAGATTCAGGAAAGAGAGGAAGAAGTGCTTAGGGTAGGGGGAAGTGGGTGGTGTCGGCTGGGGTCAGGCAGTGTAACCCTCAGTTGGAGGAGGGCAGATAACTACAGATAAGAGAGGGATGGGTCAGAGCTGCCAGATAACTGACTCATCTAAAATTAGAAAGCTGGTATTTTTGCCCAGCATTTCATTTTTTTTAACTTCCAGCATATTGAGAAACTTTTAGAACTCATGCAGAGTAAAAATCAATACAAATTTGTTATTTCTAAAACTGTAGAAACCTATGTCTCTATGAAGCAGTAAAATACTGTACTATGTAAATATTTGTAGAAAGAAAAAAACCCAGCAGAATCTTACTGTCTACAACTTAACTGTCCTTCCCATCAGCCCTTTTCTTACCCTTTGCCTTATTTTTTGGCTGCGTTGTAAGCTCACTAATATAAGCCCAGCTTTTTTCACGCCAGGCAAACCTTTGATTGGAGGCCTACCGTGCTCATGCCCCTACCAGGCAGGGGCTGACCAGACGGGCCTGGCCAGGAAGCCTGATGACCAGCCCTTCCTCCATGCACCCTCAGAGAGTGGTACCCATGTCCTCTCTCTCCTCCTCTGTGTCCCAGATGGGGCCATGGTCCCCTCACTTGTTGTATGTGGAGGTGGGTGACCCAGCCACCAGGGCAGAGAGTTGCTTTCTGGCTAATTTTCATGGGAAGTTGTATGTTTCCCAGGCCCTGGCCTCCCATAACCCTGACAGCCCTCACATGCCCCATTCATCGTCGTATCTTTCCATAGCAGCTGCCTTCCTGGTTCACAGATTGAGAGCGTCACTCCAGTGGCTGTCAGAGGCTGCCATTCCTCAAAGCCACCCTCTACCTCCTGCCACCTCTGCGCAGCTACCTTGTGCTCAAAGAAGCAGAAAGCGTGCACCAAAGCCCCTAACCTAGGACTGTGTGTCATACACACATGCCGAGATGACGTTCTAGTGTCTTAGCAGGGAGATACGAGGTTCCAGTCTCATTACTGAACAAGATCCAAATCAAAACTGACACTGAGAAGACATCAGGACCCATGAACCTGTGGTGGTTGGCAACTCTGATCAGTCTCCTCTAAGCGGGAGATAAGCGTCTGCTGCTGCCCGGATCTCCTCCCTGTCCCCAGAGCGGTCATCCTGGGCCTTTGCAGGCCTGGTTGCTGGGCAGCCTGCTTTCCAGGGTTAGTTGTTACCTTTGTCAGTGGTGATGGATCGCAGTTCTTGTCACCTGCCACTGGTAGATGAGTTTAAAACTCTTGCCGAAAGGAAAGAAATATGGGGCAGATGCAGACAGCCTCCAGCTGCCGCAGAGCACATGTGGCTTTCTTCAAGCCACTCTCTAACCCAACTTTGGCATATTTGTTGGCAGGCTCTGTGGCGAGGGGGAGGAGAATTGTTGGAAAGGTTGCAGCAAAGATGGGAGGGGTTTTAGCTTCTCTGGATCAGTTGGTACAAATGAGGAGTTGGAAGATTATTTTCTAGAAGTAAGGGTGAAATAAAGGCTTGACAGCCAGGCATTTAGCTCAGTGGCATAAGCACCTGCCTGGCAAGCATGAGGTCATGAGTTCGATCCCCAGTACAAAAAAAAAGAAAAGAAATAAAGGCCTGATATGCCTGGAGCCTTCTTTTGGCCCTTCACTTCTAATTCTGTCAGATAAAGTGAAGGAAGAATGTGCGGATATTTTGTGCTCTTAACGACACCTTTTATTTGTCTGATGGTTTCTGTAGGTGAGGAGTCTGGGTAGGGCTTGGATCCAGGGTCTCACTAGGTTGTGCTCAAAGTGTGGGCCAAGGCTGTGTCTCATCAAAGGCTCAACTGGGGAAAGATTTCAGGCTGCCTAACGTTATGGGTAGAATTCTCCGTAGGCCCTGTCACAGCATGGCAACTTACTTGTTTAAAGCCAGCAAGACAGGTCTCTCTCATAGACTCAGATGGGATCTTCTGTAATATACCCTGATGTAAGTGGCTTGCCTTTGCTGAACTCTTGGATAGAAACAAACCATAGGTTCTACTCACAAAGGCAGAGCAATCGTGGGGTTACCTTAGAATTGTGCCTACCCCGAGGAGAGGATACGAGTATCACAGTGTTTCAGAATATTCCCGAGTGCACGCCCAATTTATTTTGTATGATTCCAGCAGGGTTTTTTTCTGTTAAATGAATCAGTTTTGTTCTTTTCTTCCCATCTCACAATACTTCACATTGCGCACTCTCCACCCAGGACAGCTTCATTGCAAATGTAGCTCCCTTGTTTTTGGCCCTGTGTTACTGAGGAAGGGTGAATTCTTCTTCTTGACTCCTAATCTCAGTTTTCTTTTCTATGAGGATGCATTCTAGGATTTTGGTGAGTGTTTCTCTAGTAGTCACTGTCACTTAGCAAATGCTATTTAGAAAATCGTATTTTTATCCCCCCTCTTTTAGGATTACAGTAAGTCCTCAGCTTACAAACAAGTTCCTTTTGGGTAGAAGCTTCACAAGCTTCATTTGTTCATACCCTGACAAAGTGAGTCTTACACAGTACACTTGGAAAAGTTTTCAACTTGAATGTTCGTGAGTCAGGGACTTACTGTACACATTTTAATTACATGCAGAACTCTATAACAAAATACCAAAACTCTTGCTAGTACACGCAACAAAAGAGGAAACATATTTCAAAACAAGTCCAGGTGGCCATACGCTGGCCACACTTCTTAGAACAGAAGGTGTATTAGCCACTTTGCCATCACTGGGACTTTATAGTTTCAGAGGGTTCGGGTTCATGGTGACTGGCTCCAACACAGAAGTTGCACCGTGGAGGGAAGTTGGCCAACTCATGGCAGCCAGGAAGCAGAGACAGGGAGAAGCTGGAGCCGGGGCAAGAGTAGCACCTTCTAGTCCGCACCCAATCACCAGGTCCTGTCTCCCAACAGCAGATTCAGCTGTGGACTGATAGTGGATTATCCGTCTATGAATAGAGCACCCCGCATAAGTCAGTCCCCGTCCAGAAGCCCACTCTGAATACATAAGATTTTGGGGGAACATTTTAAATCTGAGCTCTATAGCAGAAGACAAGAATGGAAATCTTAGACATGTTGAGAAGATTGTTTCCGTAGCCATATTTTAAGAGTATTAATGTCATAGGCTAGGGCTTTTAACTCCTCACCTCCTCCCTTTTTGCCCCTGTTTTCTCCTGAGTTAAAATAAAAATTAGTGACTCTTTATTAAGATATAAAGTTTAGTTTGCTTAGTGGAGAGAAACAAGATTAAGTTGGGCTTCAGGTGGGATGTGACCCTGCTGTGATTTACAAGTTTTCCTGAACAGGCAGACCAGAGCAAACCTCGATATCAGCAGATTATAACCCACTTTGGTTTGTTCTCCAGGTTTCTCCCTGTTGTGGAAGGAAGTGAATGATGTAACCAGCTGTACGGGCAGCTCCACAGGACCTCTCGGACCCCATCTCCTTTCAGAGCTGCTTTTGAAGCTACTTGAAAAAGATGATGTGACAGTTCCTGTCCAAAAAGATTTTTCAGAAACATAGAACATCTGTGGAGAAAGTGGCCCTTTTCCCCTTTTGCGAAGTAAGACATTCCAAAATTTCAAAATGCCAGCCAAGACCCCAATCTATCTGAAAGCTGCTAACAACAAAAAAGGAAAGAAATTTAAACTGAGGGACATTTTGTCTCCTGATATGATTAGTCCGCCCCTTGGGGACTTCCGCCACACCATTCACATCGGCAAGGAGGGCCAGCACGACGTCTTTGGAGACATATCCTTCCTTCAAGGGAACTATGAGTTACTGCCTGGAAACCAGGAGAAAGCTCGCTTGGGCCAGTTCCCTGGGCACAACGAGTTCTTCCGAGCCAACAGCACTTCAGACTCCATGTTCACAGAAACGCCCTCCCCAGTGCTCAAAAATGCCATCTCTCTCCCGACCATTGGCGGGTCCCAAGCCCTCATGTTGCCCTTATTGTCACCCGTGACATTTAATTCCAAGCAAGAGTCCTTTGGGCCACCAAAGCTGCCCAGGCTCAGCTGTGAGCCTGTCATAGAGGAAAGAGCTCAGGAGAAAAGCAGTCTGTTGGAGAATGGTACCATCCACCAGGGCGATACCTCGTGGGGCTCCAGCGGCTCAGCATCTCAGTCCAGCCAGGGCAGGGACAGCCACTCCTCCAGCTTGTCCGAACAGTATGCCGACTGGCCAGCCGAGGATATGTTTGACCATCCCGCCCCGTGCGAGCTCATGAAGGGAAAGACTAAATCCGAGGAGTCCCTCTCTGACCTGACAGGCTCTCTCCTCTCTCTGCAGCTCGATCTTGGGCCCTCACTTTTGGATGAGGTGCTGAATGTCATGGATAAAAATAAGTAACAGGATGCTCTTTTTCCTTTGGGGCAAAAGGTACCAAAAGAAAGAAGAAAAAAAGACAACTAACCGCAGTTAAAGAAAAGAGCTTCCCTGGCTGTTTTTTGCAATCATCTGTTGCATTTTCTAAAATAATATTCCTATTCCTACAAAAATATTTTTTTAACTGTTTGCAAAAGTAATTTAGAAAAAATAACAACAAAAATCCTATTGTGGCTAAAAAAGAGGAAGTGAGTCAGAGCCCAGTTTCGGGGACACTGCTAATATTCAACTCACATTTTTTTGTTTGCAAACATGTAAGAAATCCAGCCTGGCTAGGATTGGCACTGCCGGAAGGACTGGATGAGTCCTTCTAAGCAACTTGACAGTTTCTGAGCATGAGAAAGTCAAATGTATTTAACACCTAAGCCTTTTTTCTAGACTCTTTTGTATATTATATTGTTTGGACTCACCATCACGAGTTCAGTGTTAAAACTTTTCTGTGTTTTCACATTTGAGCAACTTTAATGGGTTTTGGGAATTTTCATGTAGTTCTTACGTATCTCATATATTATACTGTATCTATATTGCAAAATTTTGACTGTCAGCTACATGTTGGTAAGATACAAACAAGGTATTACTGTAACTAAGTTATTTTTAAAGTTAAAATATATTTTTATGTGCCTTTGGCTTTTTATTGCAGAGTCTACATTTTATAGATAATAACATCAAATGCCGTTTGACTTGTTTCTGTAGGGATTCCATTGTAAGCCATGGATGTGTGTGTTTGGAGAAGTGTACTCATACTTCGCTCCTTTTTCTTTTCATTTCTTCATCATCTGTTATCATACTTCCGAGAGCAGCCAGCCAAGGATTGTAACGTAAAAGGCACGGGTCACTCAATGCTTCTGCAGAGACTGTGGGCTACACCACCTAATGGTTTTTTTGTTTTTTGGGTTTTTTTGAAATATAGGTATTTTAGTACAGTACATTTTGCATTACCTAGGTACTTCATACCACACAATAAAAGAGTAAATGTTAAAATGAACTTGCTTATTTATAGTAATCGATAAGAATGCAAAAAAATATTTTCTTCATGACTGGCTAGAAAAATTACCTGTCTAATGTGTACTTGACCTTGTAAACTAAGGTAAGAGATGATTTCCATCCATCATTTTATTTACTTTCTGAAGGTTTGAGATGCTAAAAACAGGAACCTTCAACTTGAGGGGAAATGAATGTGTGCAATCTGATGTCTTGTTAAAGAAATACTTCTCAAGGAACATTTCTGTGTGCTCTCGCCATGTGTGCGTACTCTGCAAGCTCAGCCTTATCCTGTAGGAAGGTTTGTCCACGCGGCTGGTCTAAACAGGATGAAACTAAAGAAGTAACAGGACAACAGAAAGCTCTTCGCTGCACAAAGCAGCTCGAGCTACCCAAGGGTGTTGGTTTAGAAAATAGGAACAGGAAATGTACACAGACTGATCCCTTGTGTCATCCCCTCTCTCCCACCAAAAAAGCAAACACTTGGACGTAATAACTGCCAGCTCTTTCTCTCAAGCGTCTCTTTTTTTCTAGAGCTGGGCCCCTGAAATGGCTTCCCCCAACCACCTCTGATTTTTTTCTTTCTCCTGGTTTGAAGTTCTCACACTCCCTGATCCATCATGTGCAATGACTAACCAGATTGAAGAGGAAACAGCTTTCCCAGCAGCAAGGCACGTTTCCTTTGTTTCCCAGTTGTGAGTCTTTATCCCACCACTTGCCGGTTTTCCTTTTTTGTTGCACGACATCCTGCTCACAATTTCAGAGACTTCCCAGCCTCTTGTAAATCTAAGGCTGAGTCCAACGAACTCACCATTTGTAGCTTGTGTTAATCAAACTCTTCCAACCCTTTTTCCCCCCTCTTAATTACCATGACTCATATCTAGACTCTCATTAGATTTTTTCATTTGTTACATGACCTCAAGGAAAAAAATTAAAATATTAGGTAAAAGAAGGGAGTGCGGGCTGTGTATTTTCTCTCCTGCCTCTCTGGAAACGGTGGGGCGCAGATCTGCCGGTACTGGGTTCTGATAGCCTCAGTGATCCTGGATCACGCGTGTCTTTAACCGTATTACTCTTATTTCTAAGCCCACTCACAAACAGTTTCTCCTTGTAGATGTAACTGAGATAGCAATAAACATGCCCCTTTTTTAGAAAGAGAAAACAAAGCCACTTCTGGCTTACATTTTTCAAAATTTTATTTTGTTTTTGATAACACAGTTTTATTGTGCAGTCTATACTAGTCTGGAACATTTTAGATAGCCCAGGCTGGCCTTGAAGTCACAATCTTCCTGCCTCAGCCTTCCAAATTCTGTAATTATAGGTGTATCTATGACACCATTTTTTTTTAATGACTTTATTGTGTCAGTTCCCCTATGGCAGCCTTCTGATGCATGGTCCCTTCTGCAGGGTCTTCCTGTCTTGCAGAGAGGCACTTTAGACTCACACCTTCTGAAACCTGGTTTGGTGTTTTCCTCAAACCCCAAACAACTTTCCACTTATGACTTGATTTATGTTTTTGTTTAAAGATAAGCAAGCTCAAGATGCACTTCATTTGCAAACTGAAAGAGAATAGCATGACACCTGTGACCCAGTAGCCAGAAGAGATCATGCAGTTTGCATAAGCAGAGACCCTTCTTATTAAGCCAGGGGAAATTCTTGTGGGTAAACTTTTCCCTGAGTAACGAAGCCTAACAAAAAACAAGCTGTATTATTTCAGCCTAAAATTATCTGCTTAAAAAGATCAAAATATCTTGAGTCCTTCACTCTTCACAAATGTAAAATCATTAATTATCACATTTCAGTGAGCCAACATCATTGTCAATAAGCAGACAGAAGACTAAATTAGATGAACAGGGGAGAGAACCCAGGTCTTTAGAATTACAGGCTGGTCCTTTTCAAGTCACTACAACCTATCTTTTTTTTTTTTTTTCCCCTGAAAGTTTCCTGCAAACAGTTGAAGTCATGAAATGGATGAAATCTATGAGTCATGAATCACTTGATAAATATTTTAGAATAGACTAATGTATACATTAGGTGATGGTTCTAATCCTCTTCCTAATATGGAGCCTGGTAAGACTGAATCATTATACTGGGCAATACATAAAGAGAGCGCATCAACATGATTTTTTTTTCCACGATGAGTTTCTCCTTTGGGAAATTATGTTATTAGCAACCTCTTCCCAGGTAAAATTCTCAGATTTTAGAATTAGTCCACCCCGCCCCGGTTATGAAGAACTCATGTAGTCATTAAGCTGTATAGATAGACTGTTGCGCTGTGTCCCTAGCTATGCTCTATGGTCAGATCCAGCAAAACTAGAAGTTTTTAAGTGCCAAATGATAAGCTACCATTGGGCCAGATGAGTAGCTTTCAAGATTGTTTGACTATGTGAGAACTGAGAAAGCATAATGTTCAAAACTATTTATGTACATTTAACTTATTGACTGGCTAAGCAATACATTTATTTTCTAAAGAAAAAACATCTGCCTCGTAGATTTATAATCACATTTGTTTCATCTGACTATATCTAAGGCATCATGTACTTTGTTCTGATCGTACACTATTTCATCTGAGAATGTTTCATTTTCACCTTATTCTTAGAGCGATAGGTCTAAATATTTCCTGGGTGAGTTGTCAGGGAATCATTATTGTGTGGTAAAATGCTACAAAGAACATCATGTAGAGGAGTGGGAACGGTACTCATTTTATGAAGTGATGGGTAACAGTGAAATCTATTTTAAAACTACTGTGCTGCATTTCATTATCTTTCACGTTTAAGAAATTCAGTAGTGATGTAACTTCCATTGGCTTGCAGAGGAAGTCAATAATATTTATTGTTTGAAGGTCAGCCAAATGTTTTCATGGAAAGCAGATTGACATGGACAAGAGATAATAACATCTGCCCGAATAAAACCCATTGAGCAGAATTGTGTTAATACTCCAGAGACTCATCATACAGACAGAGATGTCTGCTGTACATCAAAATTAGCAAAGCTGAGTGAGTTGGGTATCATACTAACCATGAAATCATTAATGTGTCACAAGCATGTGCAGGATTCATTGCCCTAAGGACAATTTAGTAAAAGAGCTTTGAGTTCTAAGAAGAGATATTCAGGGGGAAAAAAGAACCAGAATGAGGCCTCAGGTGACTGGTAAGACCATTTAGGGAGGGGGGGCCTTCTGGAGAAGATTATGAGAAAGAAGATGCTCCTGTGCTAATAGGGTTTCTCCTCAAAACAGCTAGCCTAGAAACAAGGATTGCAATTTAAAAAAAAAATGCTTACGTCTAAGCCTGAAAGATTGTAGTCTCTCTTTAAAAAACTCTAGTGCAAGAAGACGGAAACCTGACTGTTGAACAGGTGACTCCAGGATTAAATGTTGATATAAGACTAAACTCCCTCTCTTGGGAAAGTTCACCTAAGGCCACGGAAGGGACGCTTCTGAGGTGGACATGAAGTGCTCAGGGAAAGTCATTGACAGTAGTTTTGTTTTGTTTTGTTTATTAGTACACAATGTTTACGTTCCTTGGTGGCTTTGGTCCATATACGTAACACATCCTAATTCCTCTTTTTCTCCTTTTCGTCCCCTTCCACCCATTTCTTCATCCCCTTCTACTTTTTTTGGTACGTGACTATATACATGATTCTTTCATTCCTTGTGTGGAGTTGGGTCATACAATAAATTTAAACACCATTAAGCACTACTCTGCCATTAAAAAAGTCGTAGTATGCCAATGAATGCACCTTGAGACCATAAAGTTAAATAAAATCAGATACAAGCTTAAATATCATGTTTCTCTTATATGAGAAATCCACAGTAAAAAAGAGCAAAATGACAGATAATGGGAAATAGAGATCTTAAAAGGGAAGAGGATGAGTAGATGGAGTGGGGGAAGTGAGAAGGGATGAAAAGAAATCTGGTTGCATGCTGTACGAGGAAAGTCATTTTTCATGGAGAAAGCAGTGAGAGGGCCAAGTGTCTCCAAGATTGCTGGGCCTGGATTTGAACCCACTTGGTCAGCTGTCCCATCACCAGTTGCCTCCAGGAACTTCAAGCCATCTTCTCCGGGCTACTTGTCATTCCAACTGGGTATCTCCAGGAGTAACAGAAAAAGCTCCTCATGCAGCAGACACGAGAATCCAAATGTGACCGAAGAGTCCCGGCTGAGAATTCCCTTGTCCAACTGGGCCCCAGAACCCAAGAGTGTCAGGGTTTCTAGCATAGAAAACACCAACTCGAGTCCCTGAAATTCTCTCAGTCTCCTTGAAGTTCAGTCACCAAACTGAGCCTCAGAGACTTCTGAGGACTGTGCCTTCTCAGCAGTGATTCCCGGAGTCTGCACCCCGAGGGAGGATCATGCTTAAACGTGTGAACCCTACCCTATAGGGCAGATCAGAAAAGTGATCATATCATAGCACTGGGCAGCAACACACTGCACTTGTAGTGAAAAGATGCTTCCATTCCACTTGGGTTTTACTCCCAACAAAGAATCCTTTCAAGGTACTGTTTCCATGGAAAATTTCGTCTTTAATACGAGTCACAACTGTGCATTAAAACTCTAAAGAGTGCTGCTTTCGTACCCATAGCCAGCCTAGTAAGGGAAATAGGTAAACCCTGACAATCCTACTGCAAACAACTTCTCTCCACAGCTGCCCTACAGCTAAAAAGTCTGCCATTGGAGTTCCCTTGGGTGAGCCAGAGTTCCCTCAATAATTGGAATGGCAGCCTTTGCCAAAAACAGTTCCCTAGATGTAAATTTGCTTATCAGATGCATACTTTAGGAGCAAGATTCTTATCTAGCAACCAGCCTGGGGCAAGGGAGCCAGAGAAATCCAGAAAAGCATAAATAGTAAGCTCACTCAATACATAATTTTACTTAGGACTCAAAAGGAGAAGTGAGGAGACGCTTTTCTAAGAATTGCTTGTCACGAATGTGGCCCTCGCTAGGGAAGAAATAAAGATGATTGTTTGCTGGTCTCCCTGGTGCTGAAAGAGCACATGT